ATAGGGTAGTCTGTTAGTGCTCGCCTTATGCTTGAGCGATAGGTAGGTAGATGTTCATTTTTGTTTTCGCATTTGTCTTTTCATGCATGACTGTTTTGGTAGGGCGTTGGCTAACCTTTGAGTTAGTAGAAGTTCTGGGAGCCTCTTTTCCTTAGGTGAGATGCTGCCAAAATTTCTGCGAAAAAACTCAAAGTTAGTCAAGTTTCAGAGATGTCAGTCAGGATAGGATATAGTTTAGTCTTTTGAGTCAGTAGAAATTCTGGAAGCCTTCCTTTCTAAAGGAAGTGCTGCCGAAATTTCTACTGAAACCAAAAAGTTAATTTATTTTCATATATTTTCTGAGTCTTGAGTTTTCTTTTTAGATTTGGTATAATAAATATTTTTCGAGCACACTTCCCTAAAGGAAGTGCTGCCGAAATTTTCGGATTTTCACATCGTTACCGGAGGCTACTATTAAGTAGCTTGGAATCCGTTACGGAGTTGAACTCCGTTAACTCGACAGGCGATGCCTGCCTTGATTTTGTGACGCATGTCATTGCTATATGCGAGTGTTCTTCGAAGTTTTAAGCTTCATCAACTTCTGCTATCTGATTAATAGTAGGTCGGTTTGCGACTCAACTCTTACCCACTGTGATACCCACGCCCAGATGTCTGTGACCCTGTAGGTGAAAGGCATTTCCGTATGAAAGAAAACTTATCCTTAGAACCTCTCTTGAATGGTCACGCAAAAGTTGTGTGAATGGATCGGACGGGCATACCTCAGTTGAGTGGGGGTCGGAAAGGGGCGTGTGAGACATGAACCTAGGAGCAAAGGAGTTAACCACGTTTTGTGGCATCTGGTGTGGATTTTCATTTGGATTCCATGTGTGTGCAGGTATGTATGGGAGCGATGACTCGCTCCTGAACTAAGGGTGATGTGGGTGAATAAATGAAGGGTGTGAGTGACAAGGTTCAGCTATGGCTGTGAGAATAACTCTCCCTGATTTCCCTCAAGACTCGCCCTTTTCTTTTTCTTATTTTTCTCCTGCCGCACGCATCTAGCGAGCAGACAGGAGAAGCCGGGCGCAAGGTTTAGCGCTCGACCTTTGTTCGGAATGAGACTTAGTTTGGGTATGGCGAATTGCTCGTTAACCCTTGACAACTCTTATTTTCTCCTTCAGGGGAGGGACAGGCGAATCCCATTTCAAAAAAGAGTCTTGCTTTTTAAATTATTAGTCGGGCGTTGGTCATGAGTTTGGAATTCGAGGTCCTTGTCCAGGACATCCCAGACTCTGGTCCAGTACCAAAGGGGTTTTCCCCTTGAGTTGGGCCTACGCCTCTTGCTTATGCCCACCCACTGTCTAAAAGACAAGGGTGTCGCAAGGGTCGCACGACTTATCCTTCAGCCGTGCAATATTGTGAAGGAAGAACCCTTCACGATATTTCGTTTTCGACACTTGAGTGTCGAACGCAACCCCGAAACACATGGGACGTTGCACGGATGTGGGTAACGCATGAAGCGTCGCCATGATAGCAGACTAAGTGAGAACACATGACTCAACATTATGGTTCTCATGGCAGTGGCATTCTTATTATGTAACTCTGCGCGGACCTCGCTCAGACACATTGGCAGTTCTGAGTTATGGGTCAGGACGTATGAAAAAGGGACTAGGCTAATTTGCTTATATGAGTTACTTTGTTTTGTCGTGTTTCGCGTGGTTGAATAAGGATGTCCTAGTCGACCGACGTTGAATCGCACGTGGGAGATCAGCGCCCCAGCGTGACGGTTCGCGTACGGGTCCGAGCTAGGCGTGGACCGCGCGTACCCCCTATGCTACAACATACGAGAAACGCCCTCGGCTGGGCCACCTCCGCGGTTGCAAGTAAAAGCTTTCGCGTGTGGTTCAGTAGCTCGGCGGGGATACGCCCACCCAAGGGATGGTGACAGCTCCCACGGGTGGAGGTAAGTTGTACCTCGCGAGACCCTGTCCTGTTGTAGGGACTCGATGGAGGTATAGCTGGCGCACTCGGCCGGAGCGGCTCCGCCGCTTCCCTTTTCGTGAAGCGACTTGCAAATTTCTGCCAATCCTGCGTGACGCGGCCGGGAAGGTTCCCCCAGCGGGAACCCTGCGCTCGACACCGCGGGCAAAGAAAAAAAGGCGAAGCCAAAATCAGGCCGCGGATTGAATTAATCAACAGCGGCAGCCCGACCCCGCTTGGCCACCGCGTCAACCCGGCGCCACTTCGAGAACCAAGCGGGGAAAGCTACTGGCGGTTTAAGCCACCAGTCCAACGACCGAAGGGGGCTATGGGTCCTGAAAATTGGTGGGGTCTAGGGGCGGAACCGACCCCGCACTGTAGGTTTTTTTTTTACGACGAGTACCGTGGCGGAATCTACAGTGAACAGGCTTGGGGGAGGCTGCGTCGGAAGGGGGCTATGGGTCCTGAAAATTGGTGGGCGGAAGGGGCCTATGGGTCCTGAAAAATGGTGTGTGCAGCTACCGGGATCACGTACTGGGCGGGCACCAGATGTAAAAACGTGCTGCCCGCCGGAAAAAAAAAAAAAAAAAAAAAAGTCCTGAAAAAGCAACTATGCGTTGGGAAAGCAAACACTCAGAAACCAAAAACAGAACTTGATTGAAAGTTGATGTTCCTTGCGCATTGTCAAACAGACAAAACAAAATGGAATGATAGTAGATCTTGGAAAAAAACAACAGATGATTTGCAAATCTGAATAATGAATAAATAAAGAATATCATTAATAATAATTGCATGGTCAGGCTTGTGGCCTGAGGAGGATCTTCCATCTGAACAAGTGGCCTGCGAAGGCCCAGCACCGCGGGAAATGGGGCGGGTGGGAGGCTCGAAAAAGTGGCGCCGAATAGCGCCTTGGAATAGGAAAAGACCCTCCTCGACTACTGAGTTTGGCAAAACTGTGTCCTTGCCAGGTACCGGAGCACTCACTCTGTTCTACCATCAAGGGGAGAAAACTCGGCGCTCAGCGCAATAGTTACTTCCGCCGGGAAGCCCGAAATAGCAAAGATGTTCCCTCCAGCGCTTGGACCTATAGATATAGGTCATTTTGCGGGTCCAGCGACGGTGCCGCAGTAAGTTCCTCTCTGCCTGGTACTACAGCTCAGGACCTAGTGCCCCTGCTATTGGGGCTCAAAATATAATTCCGAAATAACTATTTCTGATATTCCTAAAAAGTTAGTAAAAACCTGGTACTGCAGCTCAGGGTCCGGTACTCCTGCTTTGGCGCCCAATTATCCTAACCAATAGAATTCCTAGAATAATGCCTTCGAACGAAACTCAGGAGGTCTCGAATCTGTTCTACGGTCTGCCTCAGCACTGCACTGCGCCCTGCCTCGCAGGCAGGATACAAGACTTAGTCCGGGGGGGGGGGGAACTGAACAATGAGCGGGCAGCAAGATCCCATATGCCCTCACGAGTGTAAGTCCCTGCCTTGAGGTATTATCATCGGACTAACCAGCCCAGGTAAATTCAATATTGTGTCTAATCTGACATTGGGTGTGGCCTTTTCAGCCCAGGGTGGCCTTTATTTATTGCCTTTAGGGAACCCCCACTGGAGGGGGTGGACACTAGCCAGGGGACAGCCGGTAGCAGAGGGACCGAGCATCATCTGAGTGGCTACGGTAGTGCCTCACCGATTACCCCTCCCCCTATGAACATCAGCAGAGACTGCTTTTTTTTTTTTTTTTAATGCCAATTGGGGGGACCAACGGGCTATCTCTAGGGGTGTGGTCCCATTAGCAGTCGGATAGGAGTGTGGCCGATCCAGTGTGACACTGAGTGGCAGCGGCCTGACAGGTTCATTACGAATTTCTGGGGTGAGAAAACAGGAGAAAGGCAAAAAAAAGAAAAAAGAAACAGAGACCTCCCACCTGAAATCACGGCAGAGTGCTTCCCAGCCATCAGATCACAAATGATGGGATGGTGGTGGTTGCAACAACAGTGCAGAAAATAACTGCCACATTTTCTGGAATAAACTCAACTTCTGTCAGTGGTGATTCTGACAGGAGAAAGGCNCAAATGATGGCATGGTGGTGGTTGCAACAACAGTGCAGAAAATAACTGCCACATTTTCTGGAATAAACTCAACTTCTGTCAGTGGTGATTCTGACGCCCTCCATATACTCCGTGATTGAAGGAGGGCTCCACCCTATGGGATAATTGCACAACAGCAAGCAAAATACTGAAAATCTTCTATCCAGTGGGTCTATGGCCGACCCCGCTCTCTTTTGGGGTTGGCCATGCCCGCAACGGATTACAAGATTTTGGCGGGAAGCTTCCTTTGCACCTGCATGCCCAGTGTTAAACCACCAGTACTTGGGCACTGCACGCCGCGCCGGCCGCCCAAATCTCGAAGCAGCGCGGGCTGTCGATTCGATTTATCGACGGCCCGCCGGCCGCGGAAATCGCATAGCGCTAAGGCGTCGCCCAAGTACTGGTGGTTTAAGGAGAGGAGGAGGGGAACCAAGATCTCCTTACTTTTTCGGGTAAGGGTCTCGTTAGACGCTCCTAAAAGAATCCTAAAATTTTTAGGACGAGTCCTAAAGGTTTTTTAGGATTTCGTGCGGCGTCGTTACACGCAGTCCTAAAAATCATGTTTTAGGANAAGAATCCTAAAATTTTTAGGACGAGTCCTAAAGGTTTTTTAGGATTTCGTGCGGCGTCGTTACACGCAGTCCTAAAAATCATGTTTTAGGACTCGCCCTAAAAGGTTCCCCGCGGCCCGTTTTCATACGCGTATACGCAGCCGCGCCGCCGATGTCCGTCCATTCCTCGGCGGTGTCCGTGGTACAGAATGCGGTGGGCCTTGGGCGGGAGTCGACGGATCGGTGAAACGCGCGGTTCCCCAGAACTTCAAAATTTTGAATTCGAATTTTTGCGGAGTTGTGTGCCGCGGTGACGTCTGGCATTTTCCCGCGGCAGACTCTGCGATGGTGGATCAAACGACGGACTGGCGGGACATGGGAGGACCTCCGGCTTCGGGACGACGCGACGGACGAGTACTTCCGACAGAAGCTGCGCATGTCGACGACCATGTTCAACCACATCGTAGCCGCGTGCGCCGCGTACATAGAGAAGAAAGTGATGCACTATCGAATGCCATTGCCAGTGGAGCAGCTGATTGCTTTCGCGTTATACAGGTGGGTGTCCGGAGAAACGTACGAGAGCGGCACGTCGGCATTTGGCATCGGCAGGGCAACTGGACTGCAGGCCGTCCGCGACGTCACTTCGGCGTTGCTGCAGGCGTACCCCGACGCGATAAAGTGGCCAATGGGCAGGAGACGTGCGCAGATTTTGCGCGCTTTCCGTGAGAAGGGTTTCCCAAACTGCTTCGGCGCTATCGACTGTACACACATCTACATTGACAAGCCCGCCGGCGCACCTTCCGAGACCTACTACGACCGCAAACAGAAGTTCTCCGTGCAGGCGCAGGTGGTCGTGGATTTGGATTTGCGGATCCTCGACGTCCACGTCGGATACCCTGGAAGTGTGCACGATGTCCGTGTCCTACACAATTCCCAGTTGTTTAGGCGTGCAGAAAGTGGCGAGTTGTTCGACGCAACTCCGGAGAATCTGCCGCATGGTGTCGTCACGCGAGGCTCCCTGCTGGGCGACAACGGTTATCCAGTTGCCTATCCGTGGATTGTGTCACCGTACGGAGGAATCGACCAAGGTGTTGACGAGGACACGCGGCAAAAGGTGGCACGAGGGTGTGTGGAGAGGGCATTCGGCCGACTCAAGTGCATGTGGCGTCTGTTCTTGTGCACCCATAAGACGAACCTAGAGACCTTGCCACAACAATTCGTGGTTGTCTGCACTCTCCACAATATCCTCGTGGACGCGGGGATCGACTTCGACGAGAACCTTCTGTGGGAGGTGGATGCGAACGGCGTTCGGCGTAGAGTGGACTTAGGCATTCTGGGGAAAGGTAAGGCGGGCGGGGACGGTGCACGAACGTGGAAGGTGAATTGTTGAGGGATGCACTGTGAGACCGCCTAGCTTTGATGTAGGACCGTGCGGTAGGGAGGTGGTGCACACGGGGTGGTTCGATCGGTAGGCGGTTGGAGTTATTACATGGTCCGTGTCCATGGTCATCGTGCACGTGGTTGGTTGGTCTATGGAACGGCGGCATGATTGTCGTCGACGATTTCAGATTATCGTTTTCATGCTGTTAATGGCTACCTGGTTCGCACAGTTGTGCGAAGTTTAAAGATTGGAAGAACCTTTTTTTTGCCAGTGTGTGTCCTCGTCGTTAGGAGTTTTTGTCTTGTTATATATGTTTCCTGTCTTCAAATCGTTCGTGATGAACGGTGTCGTGCGATGGGAAACACGGTTGTTGTTGTTGTTGTTTTTTTTAATCTTTTTTTTTGTTTTTGGAAATGTTGATTATCTTTATCTTTTTTTGGTGCATATCTTCATTTTCGTTTCCATGACCGGTTTCGTGTGTTGTTGTGGTGGGATGACATGTACAACAAGCTTCTATACGATCCCGTCATGCATTCTCTCAATCCGTGATCATCGCATGTCTATTGCATGTCGTGAAGCCAATACGAAGAACAAGAACAAGTGAAACGCAGACAAGGACACTGCATGACACGCACGACATCTGTGAATTCATGACACCGACATATGACAGAGTCGTGAGAGTTGTCAGACGCATCGCAAAAAGGAAAACAACAATCAACCGCCACGCGCTTCAAATTGTCCGATACAATGAGGAGCACCATGCATTGATAAAACAACCACGTGCGCTGAAGGCCGAAATCAAAAAAAAAAAACAAAAAAAAAAAAAACAAAGGTGCAAACCATTCATCCCGTGCTGGCACTTCTAGCCACACACGGAACACCTACGCCACCGTCGAAGATTCAGCCGAATCCCTCCGGCCAACACGAGAACCACCGAAACTACAATGACACTATTGAACTGAATCAACCACGTGCTTATGCCACGGGCGACACTATAAACCTGTGCACAATGACGACGGAGGACTCTGGCGAATCCCGGCGGCCCACATGCTAATCAGTTGCGCCACGCACGACACTCCAATCACACGACAGCCCGTCACGTCTCGCCACGCGTACATGCGCCTTCGTTCTTAGAAGCGCTATCTCCCCGCTCTCCCCTCTCATACCAGCCTGCCTTATGCGTCGTCTTTTCCTTCGCCTTTGATGTCATCATCGGCGGGGCCCAACCCAACCAATCCAGCCTCTTCGCATCCTCCGGCCCCTTGATGGTCGCGTCGTGCGCAAATCCGATGCCGCATGGTGCCCAATCAGGGATGTAGTCGGGGTACACTCCGAGCGTGACTTTCGCCTTCCCAAGCCTCTCCGTGACGACGTTCGCGGCGCGGACGACGGATCGTCGATGATCGAAGGACCGATGCATGGAGGCGATTAGTGTCGGCCTGGCGACGAGATCCACGAAGCAAAACGCTTTGTAGTGACTGCGTGGATCGTCTCCCGCCATGCGCATAATCCACATGGACGCCGCCAGCAACAGCCTCAAGCAATCAGCCACCCGACACAGACGCTCGTAGGAGATGAAATCGTCGTCGATGTGAGCGCCCATTTCCACCGCCGCGCGGAACGAATGCGCGATGATGATGACGGTGGACTCCTGATACGCAGCCATGTCGTCGTCCTCGGGTTTGTCCTCGATATTCGCGCCGGCGTACCGCAGTGGAAGGTCCATGTTGAGATTTATCGTGTGGGCGCAGATCGGCGCACTGACGACGTTGCGCCACTCCTCTCCGTACCACATTGCACGCGCAATGTCCGTCGCTACGGACTCCAACGAGTACTGGAACGCAAGGTTGTACCCCCTTGGGCGGTTCCCGGACTTGAAAACCCAGCCGTGCAAGATGCGCAGAGCTATATTCTCCACCGCCACCGCACGGGAGATCGCCTGCTGGAGCTGTGATTGGTCTACGATCCTCGCCACCCTCGGGCTGGATTTGGGGACGACAAAGCTCCACGGAAGTTGAGGTGGCGGAAGCCCGCTGGCGATGGCGACGAAGTACTCCTTGGTTCCGTGGACGATGTTGTAGAGTCTGCGCCCTTCACCCGTCGTCCAGAAAGATTTGTCATCCACCCAAAGAAGCGCACGGTCGATAAGTTCATTCGTCATTACTCCCCTGTGTGCCCGGCTTGAACCGGCCTCGCCGCCATCACGTTGGTTCGTGTTCTGTCCACGACCCTCCTCTCTCACCATCGCCGGAACTGCAACCTCCTCTCTCGCCGCCGGAACGGGAGGGACAACACCTGCATCAGCCACACCCGCGCCACCTGCCGCCTCCCCTCCTGCTGCACGCGCGTCTGCCACGACTCCCCCACCACCACCTCGTTGGCGAGACGCACCGTCACCACCGTTGTTGCACTGATGCGGCTGAGACGGCGTCCAGGGCACTGCACCTGTGATCGGCCTTTCGTCGTCCGCAGCGCGAGCCGTCGACACCGCCGTTGTGGTCGCTTGTGTCGCAATGCGCAGGCGACGTCTCTCCAAAGGCTCGTCGTCTTCGCCGCCAAGGTCCACCACAGCACCCTTCTCTTTCCACGTTTCGCGGACACGCAGCTGCTGCGCCTCCGGCGGAGGGGTTGACATCCTCTTCGAAGCGCTCTGATCCGGAGTACGCTGCCTGGCACTCTCCCGTCCTGCAGACGCCGTCCCCTCGCCTTGATCGTCCTCCGTCATGAAATCATCGTCGTTGTCCTCTTCCGCCGGCTGCGACCAACCTCACGCACCACGACGCGGCAGGCTTGCTGACGCATCATCCAAACGCAGCCTCTTCGCCTTTGGGATGTGCCGACAACCTTTCCCCTGGGCTTGGGTTTCGTCAAGCGCGACGTCGCGTTTCTTACCACGGGCGTTCAATCGCACAAACATGCTTGCTGGGGACCCCCACAAGCGATCTCGGTGTAGCGCTCGGCTGACATGTGCTGTTTCGTCGAAAAAGATGTCACCCGTCTCTCACCAGCCTAGCCAGACAGACTATCCCGACGACACCTGTCCTTCGCAATGGCGGAAGTGCTCCGCGGCGAGAAGCCTTACTGCCAAAAGAGCGGAAGTGATGACGGTGATAAGAGTTGTGGCACTGCAGTTGCGCGGCGGGAAGTGTGCAGCTGGCCCGGCGAGAAGTGTTGTGGCACTCCAGATGCGCGGCGGGAACCTTGTAGCGCGCCCGGCGACAAGCGTTGTGGCACTGCATATGCGTGGCGGGAAGTGCGCACGTGGCACGGCGAGAAGCGTTGTGGAATCACCCTCGTGCGGATGACATGTATGCGGATCCGAACGCGCAGCAATGAAATGACAGTAGCAGAAGGACCGTCCACGACGTCGCGTCCTCTTGGCGGAAAAACGAAACGACGACGGCGACACGAGCTACCGCCATGCCTGTCCAGGCCTGTCATTATCAACCTCCCGAAGCCGCGATAAGGCCCTTCCACGTTCGGTCGACGTGCGCGAATGCACTCCGGAAGGACCAAAACCAAGACGGCCCGCCTTCACCCGCGGACACCCCATCGCGCGTCCCCCTCGCAGCAAACGACCCCCCATAACCCCCACACACACCCC